AAATAGAAAGAAATTAATTGGCCAACTATATATATAGAAAAAAATTAGCTGGACATGGGTGCACATGCCTGTAGTTCCAGCTACTCAGGAGGCTGAGGCAGAAGGATTGTTTGAGCCCAGGAGTTTGAGGTTGCTATGAGCAAGGCTGACGCCACGGCACTCACTCTAGCCTGGGCAACAAAGCGAGACTCTGTCTCAAAAAAAAAATTGTATCTGTAAAAAAACCTTTTGAAACATATAGGGGAAATGAGGCAGAAAATTGGTAAGTAATGAAACCAAGTGACGAATACATAGAGATTCTTTACATTGTTCTTTCTACCATTGTGTACGACTGAAGATTTCTGTAATAAAAAGTTAAAAAGGAAGTATTCAACCTCTCTCTGAGATGCAATACAATGTATGGAAAAGAGCCTAGACTTAAGAGGCAAACAGATCTGAAGCGGAACCCTGCTGCAGACACTTGCTGAAAATAGGAGCTCATTCAAATTACCCATCTTATCTACAAACACTGAGATCACCCAGCTAACAACAATTTTAGGAAAAACATTAAAATATGTGTTTGTAAAGAAATAAATTTAGCCTGATTACTGAATAACTGGGAGTCATTATTAAACTAGAATAATCTAAACAATGATATGGTGACCTTATTGCAGGAAAACAGGGTGAGGCACAAGCAATAAAAAATGACTCCAATTTCTTATTCTCTTCATCTTTACTGAAACTGGAAAACTTAGTTTCACCTAATAGTTTACCATTGTGTAGATTCTTGAATTAGTGTTAATTTGTTACCTTCTTTTGCTTTTTCAGGAATCCATACCTGTTTTGTATGTAAAGAGAATGGAGAAGATGTCAAAAGGTGCCTTCTGCCCTTGTGTGGAAAGTTTTACCATGAAGAATGTGTCCAGAAGTATCCACCCACTGTCATGCAAAACAAAGGCTTCCGGTGCTCCCTCCACATCTGTATAACCTGCCATGCTGCTAATCCAGCCAGTGTGTCTGCATCAAAAGGTACGAATTTCTCCTATACACCAATCTAGTTCTAGTACCTCAGTTTCTTTGGCAACAGATATTTTCAAATGCAATCTGGCATGTCTATTCATGCCTCTTTTTAGCTTTTGTCAGTTGGAGAGAATGCCAGCATTGTATGTGGGAGAGAAGCTAGTGATGAACTAGTTTAGCAGCCACCACATTATGTTCTATGGAGCCCTCGTGTTAAGCGGTAGTATTAAATATTTGGAATTAGAGATTTGAGTGGTTTTTGTTTTTTATTTTTCCTTTTTTTTTTTTTAAGAGAGAGTCTTGCTCTGTTGTACAGGCTAGAGTGCCATGGCATCATCATAGCTCACAGCATCCTCAAACTCCTGACTTCAAGTGATCTTCCCGTCTTGGCCTCCCTGAGTGCTAGGATTATAGGCATGAGCTACCACGCCTGGCCAAGATTTGGTTTGCAAAGGGGTTCTGCTGCATGTCCTTTTTCTCTATATGATTAGAAGACCAAAGTGTATTCTTCCCCTGGGGGTCCTTATATCTCTGGTTGACAGATGTGATAGCGTTTGGAAATGCATATCAGGTCAGAATTAGGGGTTTTGTGTATTTGGAAACAGGGTCTTGCTCTATTACCTGGGCTGGACTGCAGCATACTCGCGTCCTCATAGCTCACTGCAGCCTCAGGCGTCTAGCCCCAGTCTCCCGGGTAGCAGGGACTATGTGCACGCACCACCATGCCCAATTAATTTTTAAATTTTTTGTAGAGACAGGTTCTTGCTGTGTTGTCCGGGCTGGTCTGAAACTCCTGGCCTCAAGTGATCCTCCTGCCTCAGTCTCCCTAAGTGCCAAAATTACAGGTGCGAGCCATTGTGCCCAGCCTGTTTTAATTTTTTAAATGGAAACTGCTGTTTTAGAAACTTATTTCTGCTTCACAGTTAGGTTGGTTAGTTAGTTTTCGAAAACTATCTATGCTTATAGGTTTTAAAACTTCTTATTAGTGAAAATAAATAAATAAAAATAAAAGTCTTTTCTTTCTATTCAGTAATATTAGGTCTCTTACTGATTTTTCTAAAAGCCAAATATTGTGTCTATAGTAGTAAATGCTTCTGTGCCAAAAGAGTTCCAACTTTTCCCAGGAGGATTTGAGTGTGCAAAATTAAGCAGTGTTGACTTCTTTATTTGTCTTTTTTTTTTTTTTTTAAAGATAGAACCTCCAAAAAATAATCTGTTGCCTGGGCTAGAGTACAGTGGTGTCCTCATAGCTCACAACAGCCTCAAACTCCTTTGCTCAGGTGAGCAAACTCCTTTGCTCAGAGTATAGGCACATAGCCACCATACCTGGTTAATTATTTTATTTTGACTTTTCTTTTAATCAGATTGGCAGTACCTTTTGTAAAATGACTTCCTGGCCCTATAAATCTCATCAGTCCTTAGTATGGTCATTTAAATTGCTGTCTCAAAATGGGGTTTAGCTGGGCATGGTGGCACCTGCCTCTAGTCAGCTTATTCAAGAAGCTGAAGTGGGGGGGGCATCGCTTGATCCTAGAAGTTTTGAGTTCAAGTTCAGCCTAGGTAATACAGTGCCCCGTGTCTTTAAAAAAGAAAAAATAGGCCAGGCGCCTGTAATGCGAACACTCTGGGAGGCTGAGGCAGGCGGATTGCTCAAGGTCAGGAGTTCGAAACCAGCCTGAGCAAGAGCGAGACACCATCTCTACTATAAATAGAAAGAAATTAATTGGCCAACTAATATATATAGAAAAAATTAGCCAGGCATGGTGACGCATGCCTGTAGTCCCAGCTACTCGGGAGGCTGAGGCAGGAGGATTGCTTGATCCCAGGAGTTTGAGGTTGCTGTGAGCTAGGCTGACACCACGGCACTCACTGTAGCCTGGGCAACAAAGCGAGACTCTGTCTCAAAAATATATATATATTTGCAATACATACATAATGAGTGAGATGTGCACCATCTGGGGGATGGTCATGATGGAGACTCAGACTTTTGGGGGGAGGGGGGGAAATGGGCATTTATTGAAACCTTAAAATCTGTACCTCCATAATATGCCAAAATATAAAAAAAAAGAAAAAAATATATATATATTTGCAGTTTAGCTATCAGCTGCCTTCTCCTTTATGATTGCTGTTACCGATTGCATTTACGTAGTTAGGGATCATTTTGAGTTGGTGAAGTATTTTAGGGAATGTATTTCATCTGGAATGGGTAGTAGGTGAACTGACTGGAGAAGCTTTAAGAATCACAGAATACCAGGCAGGGATTCGTGTCCTGTCCCTCCCCCCATTTAGTCTGGTCTTGATTTCAGGTTTCCTGGGAGTCAAAGCAGTAGTTTGGGTTGGGCTTTCCTTAATAAGGTAGGCCAGGCTGGGCACTGTGGCTCATTCCTATGATCCTAGCACTCTGGGAGGCTGAGGTGGGAGGCTGGAGGATCGCTTGAGGCCAGGGGACCAACCTGACCAAGAGTGAGACCCCATATCTACAAAAAATAGAAGAATTAGCCGGGCATGGTGGTATGTGACTATAGTCCCAGGTACTAGGGAGGCTGAGGCAGGAGAGTTGCTTGAACCAGGAGTTTGAGGTTGCAGTGAGTTATGATAATGCCACTGCATTCTAGCCTCAGCAGCAGAGTGAGACTCTTGTCTTTAAAAAAAAAAAAGCTCATTGACAATTATTGGATCTGATTCCTTTTGTAGACTTATTACATAATACTTGTCTGAGCTTTTGTGGCAAATTGGGTATTTAAAATCCATCATCTGGCTGGATTCCATGGCCTAAGCTTGTGATCCCATTGCTTTGGGAGATCGAGGTGGGAGGATTGCTTGAGGCCAAGGGTTTGAGGTTACAGACAGTGAGCTATGATCACATCATTGTACTCCAGCCTGGGGGACAGAGACCCCATCTCTTCTTTAAAACAAAAAAATCCATCAGTTTTCCTAGTGTTCCTTCTATTTATATTTTCTGAATGCTAGCAAATAGACTTGATTGACTCACATTGTTTTTATATAATCTCTCTGTTTTTCTTTTGCTCTCCCCTTGTTTACCTGCCTGTATATTTAGGTCGCCTCATGCGCTGTGTCCGCTGCCCCGTGGCATACCATGCCAATGACTTCTGCCTGGCTGCTGGGTCAAAGATCCTGGCGTCCAATAGTATCATCTGTCCTAATCACTTCACCCCTAGGCGGGGTTGCCGAAATCATGAGCATGTTAACGTTAGCTGGTGTTTTGTGTGCTCAGAAGGTAAGAAATAACTTCTTGCTGTATGAATAGTCTAAAATTAAAGAATTGACAAAGTGTTTTAATTGGAATAAGAATACTAATGTTCCAAATTAATGATAACAGCAGAACTTTTTTTTTTCTTTTTAGCGTATTATGGGGGTACAAGTGTTAAGGTTACTTACATTGCCCAGGCCCCCCTCCCCCAACAGCAGAACTTTCAGAACTTGGCTTTGTTGCCCAATATGGATAGATTTTATTTTATTTTATTTTTTTGTCTTTGAGACAAAGTCTCACTCTGTGGCCTGGGCTAGAGAGCCATGGCATCAGCCTAGCTCACAGCAACCTCAAACTCCTGGGCTCAAGCAATCCTCCTGCCTCAGCCTCCTGAGTAGCTGGGACTACAGGCATGCGCCACCATGCCCGGCTAATTTTTTCTATATATTTTTAGTTGGCCGATTAATTTTTTTCTTTTTTTTTTTTCAGTAGAGACGGGGTCTTGCTGTTGCTCAGGCTGTTTTCGAACTCCTAACGTTGAGAGATCTGATCTCTAGAACTCAAATGATCTGCCCACCTCCTAGCCTCCCAGAGTGCTAGGATTACAGGCGTGAACCACTGCGCCCGGCCGAGAGATTTTATTTTTTATTTTGAATAATGACTTGATTTTTAAAAAATAATAAATAATTGATGTAGTGAAAATAAAGAACGGAAAAACAAAACAATTTTCCTTCAATCCCACCATTAATATTAAGTGGTATTACTCCAGACATTTATGCTGACATTTATCTGTCACCAGATAGAAGGGCACATATCAGCTGGGTACAGTGATTCATTCCTTTAATCCTATTATTACTTTGGGAGGATCACTTGAGGCTATAAGTTCAAAACCAGCTTGAGCAACATAGTGAGACCCTATCTCTGTCTAAAATAGAAAATTTAGCTGGGCAAGGTGGTACCATGTGCCTTGTAGTTCTAGCTGCTCTGGGAGGCTGAGGGCAGTAGGATCACTTGGGACCAGGAGCTTGAGGTTGCAGTTACTTTGATGCTGGTGTACCCTAGCCTGGGCAATAGATCGAGACCCTGTCTCAAGGCAGGTATCTAGAAAGAAACAATTTTAGAAAATGTCATCATCATATATTTGTGGGGTCTTTTAAATGTTTCATTCATTTATTTATATTTTTACTGTATACAAGTGTAATTTTGTTATATGCATAAATTGTGTAGTGGTGAAGTCAGGGCTTTTAGGATATCTATCACTTGGTTGTATGTGTGTGATTTTTAAAAATCAATTTTACATGAATTAAGAGGAAAGAAAACAATGAAAGTGAAGGAATTTATGAAGTTTAGTTAAATTCTTCATTATAAGGAATATTCTTAAAAGATTTTGTAAGGTAGAGGAAAAACAAGTTTTATATCTTGATTATTTTTTAATTTATAACACACTTCTTTAGAGGAGAGAATCAGTATTAGCCCTCTCACATTTTCTTTCCTCTTTTTCTCTTTTATACCCTTCACAACCTGATTTATGCTAGTTAATAATGCTAAGTGGATGGTTAGGTACTCATCTCCAACATGTTAACTTTGGTGCTTGTAGTTCTGAATTCCTTATTTCGATTTTGTTCTTGGTTAGCTGAGCTTTTAAGAGCTCACAGGTGCTGTTATTCTTTCTTGAGGTACCATTTGCCTCTGTGCTAGAGGGACATCTTCAGTGCTACAAAATGTTTATATTATATGTTCTTTTTCTAAGATTACTTTGAACAGTGCTCCACTATTTGCTGGTGGTGTTGGTGGCACCAGTTCTCTTTTCCAATGTCCTCATTCACTTTCTAACTGACTGAATTTTGCTGATTATTTTAGTATTTTGGCAGCAATTTCTTGACTTTTTTGTTTATAGATATGTAAATGTGGCAGGTTATGAATGTTCTGATGGGGCCAATTTTAAAAGACTCCGTATATGTAATGGAACGATTATTGTATTTGAGATCTGAAAACCCAGGTTTGAATTCTGGCTTGTGTCTTTGGGCAAATTGCTTTACCAAGGCTTTGAATGCCTTGGTTTGCCTGTTTATAAAATATGGGCTTCATACTTCTTCAGATTATAATAGTGTAAATTAAATACAGTTAATATATAGTTAAAGCCCTAGCACAGAATATTAGGGGTTTTGTCTTTTTTAAATTATTACTTTTATTACAAGGACTACCACATCAGGGTCTTACAATTAGGAGAGAGGTTGGGCTCAACTCCCAGAAAATAAGTTTAAATGATTGTTGGTCTTGTTTTTGTTTTGTTTTGTTTTAAATTTTTTATTCTACTTAGGGACTAACTTTTTTTCACAGCCTTCCTTATTCTGTTTGATTTTCTTCTAAAAACTTTCCTTATTGCTAATTTACCTCTTTTCCCCAAAATGACTTCCCCCAAGAAAACAATATTTTTTTTTCTTTCTTCCTTGAAATACAGATCACTATGGAGATCTGTATCATCACATGTAATATGTCAGTAATTCTGTAAAAGGACAATTTTCCTTACTTGTAATGTTCCTTTCTAAGTTCTTTTCTATAGCCAGAGACTGGAGTCTCGTTAATTTCAGAAGTCAAGAAACTAAAGAAATCCAGTGGAATCTGATTAATTGAGAAAACATTATATTCCTTTTGAGAAATTTAGATATACTAAATAGTGCTACAGCCAAAGTGAAAATGTTGTTCCATGACTGCTTTCTATATTTGAAGACTCAATTTAGACTTTTTGGGGGGGGGGTTTCTTAAGATTTATGTAACATGACAATTTAAGAAAAAAATAACTTACTGGAGTTTGCATCAGGACATTAATTTTTATCCTCAAACTGTGGTGCTAATATAGAAAAAATAAAATAGAGTATTCATTGCAGTTATATTGGTGGGAAGTGACACTTTGATGTAGGGATGTTTTAATGCAGAAAGAGGGTGGTGCTGATTTTTTTTAAAGATATATTAGCTATGTGATTGTTCTGTATAAAGTTTTATGGTATCATAAACTCTTTTTTGTTTTTCTAACATATAGTCCTTAATTAAACTGTCATCTGATAAGCCCTTGGGCCTATTTATCATTTTGCCATTTTTCATGTCTTTTAAAGAAAGTTAGGCCGGGCACAGTGGCTCACGCCTCTAATCCTAGCTCTCTGGGAGGCCGAGGCGGGCTGATTGCTCAAGGTCAGGAGTTCGAAACCAGCCTGAGCAAAAGCGAGACCCGTCTCTACTATAAATAGAAAGAAATTAATTGGCCAACTAATATATATAGAAAAAGATAGAGTTTAATTGCAATGAAACACAACTCATTAACTTATATTTTTTGGTAGACAAGTCTCACTCTATTGCCTGGCTAGAGTGCATGAGTCAGCCTAGCTCACAGCAACCACAACTCTGGGTAGCAATCCTCCTGCCTCAGCCTCCAGTAGCTGGGACTATAGGCATGTGCCACCATGCACAAACACATACTATAAATACAAATTAAGTT